CTAAGTGAAGGGTTTCAATACTGAGATAGATTCTTGAGAAATCTGTGCTATGTACAGACTGAGAAGACATGCAGTAAGAAAAATAAATAAATAATCAAACTTCGACAACGTTCTCCAGATGCATCCATAATTTAGAGAAATTTTGGAATACAATTTAGGATTTTTCTACAGACACGTTTCACGCCATGGTGACTGTAAATGTAGCCAATGTTCTCCTTTAGAAAATTCCCAGTTATCTGCCTGTCTGTCCAACAACAATTTCTCTTATTAAAGCAGAGTTTGGGTCAATGGAGCTCCTCAGTGTATGGTTTTCGTCATGGAACGCTTCTGACTTTAAAGTCTGAGTGACAAAATATGGCATAATTGCACTTGACAATGCTGGTCAAGACATGTGAATTAGTCTGACTGAATAACCCTGCTCCAGAGAGAACAGCCTTATGGGAGATTTCAGGTGGAGAATTGAATAATTAAAGAAGTATGAAGTCTTCAAACTGAAAATTACTGCTCCAAAGGATTTATAAAATCGCCCCTAAGGTCTTCACCAGGCACGTTATATCACTTATATCACCATTTTTGTATTTGTTGGAGAATTAAATAATACCATGGCCTTTTATTCATTTAATGTTGAGGGAATATTTTCACCTCGTTTTAAAATGGATAGGTTTAGCTGAAGAGTGTAACATCTCAATGTATTTTTAGCATGTTTTATAACCATCCAACTAATGTGCCTAACATTGATCATTTGTGCATTTTCCCCCCACATTTGGCAGAATATACAGTAGTATTTCTGAGAATAATTCATTCTCCACCCTGCGGTGAGTGAGGCTGGAAAAGCAGAAAGAATCGGACCAGAGGGGCCAATTAGAGTAAAAAAGGAAAGCCAAGCATGTCCCCAGAGTGCGGCCGTCTTCCACTGAGCGTCTGGGAGAATTTGGCCAATCCTGGGAATTTGGGGCAGCGGGAATGATGAGAGAGGGTGTTCCGAGGTTCCCTCTAAATGTCACTGTGAGGTAAGGAAGCTTGTTTAAGCAGGGTATTTTCAACCCATACTGCCAGCTCTCAGCTGTTGTACAAGGCACATGCCCGCAGGCCCTTTGTAGTGTTGAGTGTTACTGCTGTAATGGCTGTGTCATTAAATCTGTTGGCATTTGTGAGATGCCAGCCCATAAGAACACATGGATACTGGCAGCAAAAATAATCTACAAACATTGATAAGATTTTTTTTTTTTGTTGACCCAATCAAATCAGCATGTTAGAATGATTGTTAGAAGGAGCATGTGACACTCTGGAGACTAGAGGAATGGCTGTTGAAATTTCAGCTTTGCCATCATAGGAATAAATTACATTTAACTCTCTCTTGGGGTGAGGAAAAAACGAAACCGAAAAATCGTTTTGTTTTTTGTAGAATTTTTTAGCCTACTTCATCAGAATGGTACGAAACGTGGTTAAGGTTTTGGCACTTGCTATGTGAAGTCCAAAAAAAAAAAAAAAAATGATGGAAAAAAAGTTTAAATTTAAAAACTGCTTAAATATAAAAAAAAAATTAAAATGGTCCTGAAAAAAAAAAAAAAAAAAAAAAAAAACCTCGTGGTCAATAACGTCCGTATTGAAAATGAATGTGAGACAAATTTCATCTGGTGAAAACTTTTGTTACTGCCAAACAAACAAAATCTTACTGAAAGCTATTTTTTTTCAATCTCAAATAAGGAACACAACTTGTTTAGATTAATTTTGATTTATATTAGCTAAAACATGTTTTTGAAAATATATATTTCATAAAAAAAAATGAAAAAGAGTATCTTTGTGCATTTTTCATAACAATAAACGTACAATTATGTAACTTTTTTAAGTTCACCCTTTTTTTTTTTACCATTTTCATTTCAAAAATCTGTAATAATCTGCCAAGTGCCATCTTTGAAAAGAGATCAAACATAAATCGGTGGTCTAAAACATTCAAGATTTACTTTGGAAATGTCAATGTTTAAGTTGGAAATTTAATTTTCAGGTATATTCCAAGAAAATAAATGGATTATAAATACAGCGTAAATATAATTTAGTACCATAAAATACCTTAAAAAGAAAACATTAAAAACATTATTGAACTCAAATATAGTACATTAAACTCATTGTAATAAAAAAAATGTAATTTTTGACTGACATGCAAAGAGCACCAAAGGTTTTAAAATATATTAAAATAGAAAACTGTTATTTGAAATTGTATTATTTTACTATATTTGCCTTGGTAAATTATTAGTCTTAATAATGTATTATATAATAAAAATAAATAAATAAATAAAAATAAGCAAGCAGTCAGTGGATCAAATAATGATTTTGCTTGAAATTAACATTCCAAAAATGTTCCGGTTCTCGGTTCATTTCGAGTCGGACAGAAACTGTGGTTTATTGAGTGGGTCATTTCAGTGAAAAGATTCAGTGATTAAATCAGACTGATTCAGTCCATGATTGAAACTATGATCAATTTAGTCTGATTTACAATGATTTGCCCATTGGCTCAACAGATTCTTTAGAAAGTATTGATGAAATTCCACAGTTTGTTCGCAACTGCAACTGGGTTTTATTTTTATTTTATTTTTTTGCTTATTCAGTGAGGACAATGTAATAAAGTAGGATCGGTTGAAAATTCGGCAGATTTAGCAGTGGGACAAATGGCTCTTTTGAATAACAAGGAACTTTTGAACCTATTTTGCAAGAAACACTAAATTGTTTTGTGCTATCTAGTGCAGTGTTTCTCAACTGGGTCACAAGACCGCTTTGAGCGGCCGGAGTATGCAGTCAAAAAACAACAACATCCTATTTTTTTCTTAATCGAGACATCCATGACGTTGTCAGACTATATGTCAGTCAGTGTCTAACATTATTTATATGACGCTTATTCTATTAATCAGGATCAGTGTCCATATTATGTACCATTAACAGTTCATAGTATTGTGTATTTACCATGGTAAATATTGTTTACCCCAAAATACCACTTAATTTGATATGACTGTGGTGGCTCATACCAATTAACTAACTTTAATGTATTAACTAAAAATAACTAGTTTGGGACTGCTATTTAATAGCTTTACCTTATACTGTTTATTCATCATTCAGTATAAGTCATATTCTTAAAAATTAATGCGTATGTTAAGTAAAGTGGAACAGTTTGGTTTTAAAAGCAAATTTAATATAATTTGTATAATTGTGTACAGTATATATTTGAATTAGGTCAAATAAAAACAAAATGGGTCACGACCTAATGACCATGGGGAAATATGGGCCGCACGTTCAAACCAGTTGAGAACCACTGATCTAGTGCTCACAACTAGGAAAAAAAATAATGGCGAATAATGTGATTCTGATTCTTTGAGCTGATAATGACAACTGGAGGATCACGTGTGGGAGTCCGAACTCTTTTGTTTTCCAAAAACAGTTAGCCTAGAAGTTGGGCGCAGCTGCCAAAATAAGTGTATAGGCCAATCACATACAAAACATGACCCTAACAAAGCAGTCTACTGCAGATAGACATGATACATGATCGCTTTCCCTGATTTTGCACGTTTACATTTAATACTGTACTTCAAATGTTTTCCTATTATAGTCTCAGTTCAGAGACCCTGCCTTGAACCTTTCTGAAAGCATAACGTTTTATAACTGGAGGGTGGGAGATGTTGAACAGAGCAGAGCCCACTTCGCCTTTACACTGTCACATCCTGCCCCAGTGCCAGACAGAACTAGAGGGAGGGATGGGAAACGAAAGGAAGATAGAAATGAAGGTGCTGTATTCCTGTCACTGGTGAAATTCTCCCACAAAGGGAGCAAAACAGGCAGAACACGAGTCCGAGGGGAATCGTGGGGGGGAAAGGAGCAGGTAGACAGAAATGGAGAATGATGGAAGGAATGAGAAAGCGAGACTACAGTGATAAAAGAGGTGATGTGTGTGCGTGTTTGGCGGGGCAGCGGTGGAGGAATGCCCCATGGCTGTGCTATAAGGAATAAATCAACCGTGCTGCTATGTTTTGGTAAGATACATGCCAAACGCAATCTCTCTAGCCAAAGCTTCAAACCTTCTTGCATATAAGTTGTGTTTGAAAAGAAAACATTTGTTCTCCCTCACGTTGGCAGCTTCTCAGTTCCGACAGACAAAACTTTCTTTTTTTAATATCCTCACAGGGGCTTAACAATTTCATTAAATCTTACAACAGTTTTTTTTAAATTGTAAATCAACCCTGAAAACAGAATACATCTGCATGAAGTGAAAGTGGCTTGTTTGTACAATATGTCAAGAAAATTTAGTTATTGCTTCACTCAGCTGTAGCAGAATTCTTCAAGATCCCATGAAATGAATTGACTTGAATTTTTTTTTTTTTTTATTTATTTTTTTTTTACAAATTAATTTTTTTCCTGAGTTGATGTATTCCCCGTTGAAACAGTAAGTTAGGGAGGGACATATTAAAGGGATTGTTTTTTTTTTTTATGCACTACCATTCAAAAGTCTGGAGACAAAGTAAAAGTTTAAAGACTTTTACTTTGTTACAAAAATCAAAAAAAAAAAAAAATCAAATAAAGGTTGTTCTTTTGAATGTTTCTATTGATCAAAGACTCATGAACTAAATATATCAAGTTTTCCACAGAATATTATGAAGAAGAACTGTTTTCAACATTGATAAAAATAGGAAATGGCTCTAATCTGCATGTTTAGTGTCATGTGACACTAAATACTGGAGTAAAAATTGAGCTTGAGTAAAAAATGTAGTAAAAAAAGTCATCACATGAACAAATTACATTTTAAAATATAGTATTTAAAAAAAATACATCATTTAAAATATAATATTTCACAATATTTTTGATCAAATAAATCCAGTATTAGTAAGCTAAAGATAAAAGCTTCACAACTGCCATCAGTCATCAGTATGTTTGGCCAAATTAATAGTGCAGGAAGCAAGGGCAATATTTAGTGGTATCAATAAAGTCATTTCATGTATATGTGTGTGTGTGTTCACCTCAAACTCAGCATGTTTGTGGATGTCCTCTGCTCTCTGGCGGCTCAGAATGAACTCGGCCTCATTAGCTACACGCACCAGATGGTCCTTCATGGTGTGGCTCAGCAGTCTGCACATCAAAAACACATTGAACATTAGGAGTTCATACACGATGCACATGATTCTATCTGAATTATTTTCAATAATTATGCAGTTTGTGTAGGTAGACTGAATCCAAGTTAGCATTTCACACAGATCCAAGTAAACTAAATCAGAAAACAAATCACAGATGTATTTTTACATGTATTAAAAAAAATGTTACTGATCGTAAGAGATGCAAGAGAAATCAAGAGACAACAGATCCACCTATAGTGAAATTATAATACAAATAAGCCAATATATATTTTCATAGTATGGCTTATATATTAAATCTATAGTACTTTAAAAAAAAATGTTAATAAATATCATATAGCTGATAAACAACCAATATTGGCCGATACAATAAACATTAATAATCTCTGCCAATATGGGCGATAAATTATGTTGCTTTGGTATATTGTGCATCCATATTAAAGAATACTAATATATAAATTCAATGTACAATGAAGGATGTTGGCCAACAAAATAGTAAAAGGATATCTTCCACGTCTCTCAACTGCTAATCTGTGATGAAATAAATTTTGCTGATTTAATAACACAGTTGTGTAAGGCAATCGAAGTGTAAATAGTACGCTAAACCCGCTTAACAACACCATGTAAAACAAGCAGAAAATCATATTTAGCACGGCAGCTAAAAACCACCCCAACTAAAACAACCAGCGATTGATTTGTAAATGATACGTATCTAACAAGATACGGATGTAGGGGGTGTAGAGAAGGGGCACGTCTCACCCCAGCTCATGTTTCTACATATGTAAGAACAGCCTTCCTTGGATAAACACACACACAGTTTCTTATCACAGGACATCTGATGATTATAGGGGCTGATGGGAGATCAGATGTATCCTGATTTTACTGCTACTGTTTGTCAACCCTCATCAAAACCTGAAGCTGTTCTTTCCATCTCAAGAGTCTTGTTTGTGAATCAGCATTGTTTTTCCTAACCACGGTGCCCTGGGTTAGAACCTGATCTTGAAACAGCACATTTACACCCCGGGCAGATTTGTGAACAACACAAGCCATGGCCTAATAAAACATTCCCCCCAGGGACAGAGATGAGTATCTCAGCAGGTCAGGAGGCTTAGGCCTCTGCAAAGTGGAAGAATAACAGGCGGAGGGTGGAGGGTTGAAACTCGAGCCTGATGTGTCGGCGGCGGGCAGCGGGGGAGCGGACGTGCCAGGGACTCTGCAGTGACCCTCTCCCAACCCTCTCACCCCGACTGCCATCAATAACACAGCCCACTCTCTGTGACTGCCCTTCATTCTATCACCCTTTTGCTTTCTTTCCTTTCTTTATCTGTTTTTACTTACTTTATGATATGACAATCTAGAGAAACAAAAGAAATTCGATTACCGATTATACAAATGGTAATATCATGGCGTGAGACATGTAAATCTCACGCCAAATTAAACCGTTTTAAATTAGACCGGTTGGAGTGTGACTTTCGCGAGAGCAATACAGAGCTATCATCCCATACAGTGTAATCACTTCACTGCCACAGTATTTGTCAGTGTTGAGTAGTAGCATCGCTACAAACTACATTTCTCAATTGACCTATGGCTAAGCCACGTCCCCTCCACTCACTCGGACAAACAGTCAACATTCGGGGGCAGGCGCTATGGTAAAATTTCACAGGAGGTAATTGGTGATTTTTGGAGACAGAAAGATTATGTATCATCTCAAAGTTACATAAAGGGCCTTAACTATGCATTGGAGGGTTATATTAATAATTTTATTGTTGAGAAGGTCGATAAAAAGCTCCAGGCAAAAATGTATAGTTCACATTGTAAACGTTATAAACCATTATCGTTGCCATCACCGTTTTTAGTGCTACAGTATTTACATTAATCATTCAGCACAACATTGTTAACATTTGTTATCTCGGTTATTTACAGATGTTAATGAAGCTAAGTGACATGATGTACACGCAGCTTACGTGTTCTTACGTTTGATATTTTAAAGATAACGTTCAAATGCGTTGTTCTTAGAACAGATGTAGACATCCTTGTTTAATTTATCCACGTTTAGTTGGTGTTGTGGTCTACCGCATCACTTAATCACATAACTTTATCCAGACCAGACACTTATCTCGGTTGAGATGTGGCTTGGGAAAGGGTAAAAAAAAAAATACACACCGCCGCCCAGCCTCTCGGGAACCTAGTGTCGGAGTTGCATGCAAAATGTTGCATGCAAAATGACAAGAATAACGAATGAAACCTGACTAACTGCAATGCATTTCAATGGACGTGGAAGCAGAGAATGTCCGAGTGTATTGGGTTAGCTGCACACTGTGATTGGCTCATTGCGTTTGAGGGCGTGGCTTAGCCATAGGTCAATTGCGTGGTGGTAGTGTTCTCAATACCGTAGTGGTAATCCTCAATAGCGTAGTGTCTCTGTTTTCTGAATCAGACAGCTTTTCAGTAGCAAAGCTCTTTTGTAAATCAAGTAGTACGGTAGCAATTTTCCCAAGAATTTCTGCTAAATAACTGCCAAGGATCACTGATCCTGTATCAGTAAGTGACGCCACCACTATACATGGACCTGTGTTGGCTGTGTAGCTGACAGAAGTACTTCTGTATGATGGTCATAGACAGTACTACTTCATGTTTTACGACAGTTGGCAACTAGCTTTTTGGTGCATTACCACCACCCTCTGCTCCAGACGGTGACATCACGTAACAATCCTAGGGCTGACACACAAGACTTGATTGAAAGATCCACAAAATCCAGGACACCTGGTTTTGTTATAGTTATTATAGTTATGGTTTTATATAGCCATATGGATTTATATAGTTGTGGTTTTGTTATTGTAGCCAAATTGGTTTGGAACAGTTGTTGAATAAACAATTGAATTGAACAATCTGTTTGACTGACAGTTTTATTGATCACTGAGATAACATTGACTTGTGTGGAATGAAGTTAGTTGGTACTTTTGCCATGTTGCTGCAGCTTAGCTTGCTACATTTCTCAGGAGGGTAGCTTCTGTGTAGTCAAGCTTGAAGGACAACTCCGGCGCAAAATGAACCTTTGGTCTAATTACACATTGCTACCTAGTCAACCGTTATCTGAGATTTGTTTTCATGATTGCCGAATGTAAATAGTTTTATCTCTAAAAACAGTTTAGCCTATAACACTAGTATAATGCTAGTATATAGGGCATAGAGTAATGACAAATAAAAATTGCTTGTTGATACCACTAACAAGGCTCAAAATAGCCCCACACCAAAACGACAGCATAACAAGGGTCCCTACATTCAAACCGAAGCATTGAGAACTTTGTCAGTGTCCACACAGTTTAATAAGAAGATATTTTATTCACACAGTGAATTTCGCGAATACAGGAAGAAGCCATCTTTGAAAAATAGCCTCTACCAGTCGATCTACGAACGCCGATCCAAGTGCGCTGAACTGTGCAGAATCTCATATGATCCGTTGTTTCCAGAAGAAACACAAACACAAACCGTTTACTTGTCTTCAATATGTACACGTAGCCTACTGTTCGCGCTCACCTTATCACCTTATTCACATCTCACCAGCACACTTGGATCGGCGTTCGTAGATCGACTGGTAGAGACTATTTTTCCAAGATGGCTTCTTCCTGTATTCGCGAAGTTGACTGTGTGTATAAAACATCTGCTTATTAAACTGTATGGACACTGACAAAGTTCTCACTGCTTCGGTTTGAATGTAGGGACTCTTTTTATGCTGTCGTGTTAGTGTGGGGCTATTTTGAGCCTTGTTAGTGGTAATAACAAGCGATTTTTATTTGTCATTACTCTATGCCCTATATACTAGCATTATACTAGCGTTATAGGCTAAACTGTTTTTAGAGATAAAACTATTTACATTCGGCAATCATGAAAACAAATCTCAGATAACGGTTGACTAGGTAACAATGTGTAATTAGACTAAAGGTTCATTTTGCGCCGGAGTTGTCCTTTAATTTAATGTAGAGTAACTGTTAGCTTAGCTTACTACATTTTCCAAGTAGCTTGACTTTGGGAAAAACACTATGATTACTTGCAGTAAGCATTATAATGGCATATTTGATGCACTTTAGACCTAGGTAATATCTAGGTAATAATGACAGGTGCCGGTGTGCAAAGATGATGTCTAAACATTTACCCTACTTTCTAATAGAACAGCATGCTTTTGAAAAAGAGCCCTAAAGATGGCCAGCAGTTAAGGTGGAAGAGCCTCAGCGCATCACTGCATTCATTAACATTTCTGGAGAGCTCATCAGCACAGCAGCATTCATTAACATTAATTTACATTGCTAAGTTAGAAACGAGAGCCATCTGAAAGATCTAAGGGCTTGAAATTGAAGACAGAGATTCTTCCATCCCAAAGGGAGTTTGAGTAAAAGAGTCCAAAAAATGAGACATAAACCTGTCTGAAAACAGCAAGATACGAGAAAGATTTCCCAAGAGGTGGACAAGAAACTAAGGCGCTGCTGCCCTCACAAAAACATATGGGAACAAGCCAAGTTATTGACAGACGCCTTGAACTCCAGGTCACCCTGTAGATCCCCTTTCCACATTACATCGATTACCTCCCAAACATGATCTGATTGTATACACGCAACATAGCGTTGTAGGCCAGAAGATAATGAGGAGGTCGCTAAGAAAGGGTCAGAGGATGGGATTAGATAATTACCTGCCCTCGTTCACAAGCTCGATGAAGGCCAAACCCGCATTCTTTTGGATGGAATTCTGCCATTCCTGTGGAGAGAAATAAATAAAAAAAACTTTACACACAATGTATACAACCAAGCAGAGGAAGGTTGGGATTAAAATGAACCGCGACATCAGAAAACAAGCTTCATCATCATCAACAAACTTCATCCAGTGGAAGTGATCACTGAGGAAGGATGGAACAAAGCAAAACGTGCTTCTAACGTGTTTATAATGCATCTTCAATGTTCAAGATTGCCTTTAACCAAGCAAACCCATCAAAAACTTTAACAGGTCTCACCCGGTTGTTGTAAAAGGTGTTAGTATAAACAACCACAGCTTTCAGTGATGTTTAATAGCCTAGGAGCGAGACCAAATCATTGACATTTTTCACAGCTGCGCCAACCTTTCAACACTTCCCTGTGATCGTCTCAAGAATAATAATAACAACCAGGTCATGAGTATGTACAAAGTCGCTTGTGTATTCTCGAGGGCTCTTTTCAAGACTGTATCATGCAGACATGAGGGTAACGGTCCAACCCTAAAGTCTCATTTGTTTCGGCCAACAGAGAGTGCTTCTAAGTAGAGGTGCAACCCAAGCAATCATTTCATAATGATGATGATTTATTTTTTAATACCCTGCAATATTTTTAAGGTCATAAATTAAAAACGAAACCAGGCAAATCTACTTGCTCATTAAGCAGGAAATGTTTCACCATCCTCTGGGAGAAGAAAAGTGAGCCTGAAACCAAAATAAACAAAATTTTAAAATGGCAATATGTGAAGGCTTTATATATTGCAGAGGCTTTGTTCACTATAACAGCTGTTAATTCCCATTACTTTGGAATCTCCAACATAAATATTTAAGGAAGCATATTTAAAGGTGCTCTATGTATTTTTTTAGTGGCCTCTATCGGTGATGTTTCAGATTGCAACCAATTTTTACGAGAGCGCTCGTGCTCGAACAGAAGGGCACTCACGGTACACGGCCACACTGAGACTTTCAACACACCGGAGAAAGCATCACACAACATGCTGGAAACTCATGTAAACCCCCACTGTAACATTACAATAATAGGCTACTTTTATCAGCTTGACGTTGAACAAATGCTCCATGCTCGTACCATGATAACGTTACATTTGTGCTGTTATCTAGCATAAGGCATTTTACTAATTATTTGTGTATCTTTCACAATCAGCAATGTCAACATAGGTGAATGCATAATATGATAACGAAAACGGTTAGTGAACTAACGCTAGACTGAACAATTTCAGTGTAACAGTAAGACCGTAGGAAGTAACATTACTGTACTGAACGTGTCTGGAAATGTGTATTATAAACAATATGATAGTAGTGAGATGAGTGACATTAAACAGTAGATCTAGTACATAAAAGTTACATCCTAAAGTACCCACTTTTTGTTATCCTGAAACAGTCTTTTGTATTCATTTCATGTCTCATGTATGTTGTAGTTTGCCTTGCTATGTCATAACAGTTTACCATTATTTCAACATATCTGAAAACTTCCGGAGGTCTCTCCATAAATTAAAACGATCTGCCGATGTTGATCGTCCTAAGTCGATCCGATTCACGTTTGGCCTGAAGAGCTTCAGAGGATAAATTTTTGTTTTGTTTTTTATATTTATGTGGAGTTTGTGTTGAGTGTTGTGCTGGAGGCAGGTCGTTTTTTAGTGTTATCAGACTCCATGTCGTCAGCTGCAGTGCCGTCGCATAGACTCTATATAAAAAGGAGAGAGACTCGGGAGCGCGCATGCACTTCACACTCACATCCGATGGATTTTGCAGAAAATCCGACCTGGAGATTTCACATAGAAATAGGAATACTGGCATTCAGAGGTAATAGCAAAACCTGACAAAGTGGATCATTGTAATGTGTGATTACAACCCCTTCAAAAACACGCAATATAAAAGATTCATTTTAGAAGAAAAGTTACATATAGCACCTTTAAGTAAATCTTACATCAGTTTTCAGACAGCAAGCTATGTTTGGTTACTCATTACTCACCATTAGTTTACTAAACCATCTACAGTATACATCATCTAAACAGAGTCAATACAGCAAACCAATAAGAAAGGTAGGAAAAGATTGTAAATTCTATACCACTCACATTAACAAATGGAATTGCTAAATAATTATTTTCAAAAAGGAACTATTTGACACTTCCTACAATTGGTCAAGTCCAGTCTCAAACAAACAGCATAGAGAAAACCAACAGAATGTTCTGAGAGTGCCACAGTAAAAAAAAAATCTGATAAATTTGGGATAGAAGAACACGTTCCTTTTTACAGAAACTGAATAAAACGCCATTTCTTATTTTATTTATTTTTTATTCCATATCGACTGTATCAATTTTGGGTGTTACAATACATTTTATAAGATCAAAAGAAGAAGTCGAAAGGAAAATTGTACAGTAAGAGAAAACAGGAAGGTGTTTTTTCAGACCAAATAGCCAACTAAAGTTCATTAGATTACATTTTTGGGAGAAACTGCATATATACTAGGATATTTTGTTAGGAGAAAACACATTTTAGCGGCTGTCATCAACCAAGCACAAAAAATAAATTTTCACTACAAAGATAAATGAATGTTTGATGGGTGAGGGAAAGGCATTATTCTTTAATTAAAGGAAGCAATGACCCCAATCAAAAAGCCTTAACGATCAGTGCTGTGTGTTGGGGACAAGGCTGACGGTTATTGGATTTCAACCAGTCATTGTGATAGGGCCCTGATACGGTTTTATGGTATCCAATGCAGTTTCCATTCTGACCTGATGAGTGGATACAGCCAGCCATTTGTGACCTTTCAACTCTGACCCTGACCTAAGAGAGGTGCTTCTACAACCCAGCCACCTCTGCCCTGGTCCTGTCGTTACAGCAACCACTCACGCTGATCCATTCATGTCATCAAGACCAGGATTGTGTCCTAAGATAGAACATGACTTTTATCAGCCACACAAACAATGCCTGGGAAAGTTTGTATCGTAAAGATAAACTTGTAACGATAGCCACTGTGATTCAAACCGGTCATAAGGACTCTTCATCAAGGACATAATTGACCTGTTTCCTCCAGTCTCGATAAAACAAAAAGACTAGCATATAGGGAACACTTGGTCAAGGTCAAATCCATCCAAACACACATGCGTAAAATGCCAGTTTCACTTTTTTTGATGCTGAGGTATATAAACAAGCTATCCAAGATAGAGACTTCTGGTACACTGATTCGGAACGTGTTTTCAAGTAAATATTATCTAAACGTGTTATAATATCTACATATTATCTATATACATTCATCTAAAGGATTATTAAGAACACCATGCTAATATTGTGTTTAACCCCCTTTCGCCTTCAGAACTGCCTTAATTCTTTGTGGCATTGATTCAACAAGGCGCTGAAAGCATTCTTTAGAAATGTTGACCCATATTGATGGGATAGTATCTTGCAGTTGATGGAGATTTGTAGGATGCACATTCCATAAAGCTCCCATTCCACCACATCCCAAATATACTCTATTGGGTTGAGATCTGGTGACTGTGGGGGCCATTTTAGTACAGTGAACTCATAGTCATGTTCAAGAAACCAATTTGAAATGATTCGCGCTTTGTGACATGGTGCATTATCCTGCTGGAAGTAGCCATCAGAGGATGGGTACATGGTGGCCATAAAGGGATGGACATGGTCAGAAACAATGCTCAGGTAGGCTCATTTAAGTGATGCGCAGTTGGCACTAAGGGGCCTAAAGTGTCCCAAGAAAACATCCCCCACACCATTACACCCCCACCACCAGCCTGCACAGTGGTAACAAGGCATGGTGGATTCATGTTCTCATTCTGTTAACATCAAACTATTACTCTTTCATCTGAATGTCTCAACAGAAATCGAGACTCATCAGACCATGCCACATTTTTCCAGTCTTCAACTGTCCAATTTTGGTGAGCTCTTGCAAATTGTGGCCCCTTTTTTCTATTTGTAGTCGATTGGTTGATTAGATAATTGCATTAATGAGAAACTGAACAGGTGCTCCTAATAATAGATGTGATTAATCATGATTTGTATTACATTATTTAGGTATATTACATAAATCAGTTATATCGTCCTTATTTTTGAGCGATGAAGAGATCTACATCATGCAAGTCTATGTGATGAAAATAGAAGCTTGTAATACAGAGTGAAGGGAATGCAGAGGGAGAGCAAAAGAGAGAGAGAGACCTGGTGACGCTCTTACAAATAACTTGGTGGCATCTGCGTCAGGATAGTGTGAGCATGTGTGAACACATTCAAAAACAAAATCAGTATAATGTGTCCCCATACCAAACATATTCCTTATACTTTAAATGAATGCTTTAATTACAAAGTCATCCATAGAGCATACATAACCCCTTACAAGAGGTTCAAAATGAAACTGCAATCAACTTTTAACTGCCATATTTGTAACACTCTATCGTCTGGTACCTTTCTTCATATGTTTTGGGAGTGTCCAGTTGTTGCCAACATGTGGGATAATGTAAACTTGGTTCTATCCTCCTTACTACAAATTGATTACCTGCCTAATCCAGGTTTATGTCTTCTCAATGACGATTGTGACTCCTGTATAACTTTGTTGCAAAAAAGAATGTTGTTTGCTGGGTTTACAGCTGCGAAGAAGACAATAATACAGAACTGGTTTACAGCACACATGTGTGCAAAAACTTATTGGATTCATAGCCTCCACAATTTTTTTTTTTTTTTATGTAGATGTTTGTGTTATCTTTGTTTAATAAAGACAATAAAGAGTTGATCACAAAAAAAATGAATGCTTTAATTGAATAATTATATATATATATATATATATATAAAAAGCAAAAGTAATTTTCTTCTGAGACACACAAACAGCATAAGTTTTAGATTTCATAGAGAAGTCATCCAATGAGGCATTCTTTTGTTTAGTTTTGCCATGATAATTACCGTGGCGCTGAATTACTAATCACTGCTGATCAAGAGAATGTAATTGCCCTCAAACTAAAACACAACTGAAACACAAATGAAACAA